CCCCACCATATCTCAAATGCGTAAATTTTAGAACATTACCTTTGAGTCTCATTTTTCTTCTCTGTAAATAACAATAATAGTAGTACTTACCTCTGAAGTTCTAGAGAAAAATAAATGCACACACCCATATTTGGTGTTTAAAGCAGTTCCTGGGCACATGGTAACACAAAGCATGAAGATATTTTTTTTTATCATATTTTGGTAATGGCTTGAGTTTATAGAATAAGCCAGGCTTGATGAAGTGTAAGGTGAAACTAACTTTATTCTCTCTCCTGTTTTCCCTCTAAACCTGTTTTCTTCTCCCTTAGGTGAAACTCTCAAGATTTTACTCTCTTAGGTAAATTTAAAGCCCCTCTGTTTTGATGATGAAATATCTAGTCGATTCTCACAATTACCCATTGTTGCAATTCAGCCTGGAGAAATAATGAAAACTTTCCACTTACCCAATACAAAGCTTCTTTCCCAGTCTTTGTGCCTGATCTAGACTGGGAAGCCTGGTGTGGGAGAAGGGAGGTGTAGTGTTTCCTTCACTGTATCCAAGCTCTCCCTTCCCTCTTACTTTCTAGTAACAGTTACTAAATAATAAATTATGTTGGAATATTCCCCATTTGCTTGAAACATTTTTTCCCTCAGAAAAATTTTGTCGCTGTTCTGGGATAGGAAAGATAAAGTTTTACTTGGCAAGAAATAGCTTATTCTTCTTTCCTTGACAATTAGCCAATTGATAGCATTCAATTTTCTTATAGACTTTTAAATAATATATCCATGGAAAGCAGTGTCAGTTTGAAAACTCCCTGGAGTCATTAAATTAAAAAAAAAAAAATCCCTGTTGATTTGATGTGGGCCCACTACCAGTAGAGTAAAAATATTACTCATATACATAAACAATGGTGTGGTGATGGCCAGAGGGAAGTGGGGGCTGGCTGGGTGGAGGTGGGCAAAGAAGGGGGGGTGGAATAGGGAGATCTGTAATAGACTCAACACTAAAAATAAAGTTAAACTCAGCTGGTGCAGCTCGGTGGATTGAGCACCATGCCATGGACTGAGAGGTCCCGGTTTGATTCCTGGTTGGGGCACACGCCCAGGTTATTGCCTGGGTCTCCAGTAAGGGGCATGCAGGAGGCAGCTGATGGAAGTTTCTCTCTCACATTGATGTTTCCATCTCTCTTTCCCTTCCTCTCTCTCTCTAAAGAAACAAAACAAAACAATAAAAACATTTTCAAAAGTAGGGAAAAAAAAGGAAATAAATTTTATTGAAAGACATAAAAGCAGAGATGAAAACAAGTAACAAGTTTTTGAACAGGAAAAAAAATTGCAGTATTTCTCTTCTTTTGCTCTAATCTGTTCCAAATAATGTTCTAACAGCAATTATTTTTATAGTGTACAAACTGATAATAAAATGTTACAGAAAAATTATTGTTAGCAATGAGGCTTTTGCTCCAAGTTATAGTTGTTTTTTTTTTTCACTTAATATTTCCTCACAATAACTATTTCTTCTGGATTACTATGTCCTATTTCAAAGCCATCTTTTTATCTTGGAAAACACATCAAAATGTCTAAGGTTTCTGGCATTCATAACAAAAATTTGTTTCAAATTCAATATCTTTCATCAACACTGAAAAATAGATTTGTGTTCCTGTAATCACTTCATATTCAGTCTGACAATGGGATAGTCAGTGAGGGAAAGAGGTTTAAGAAGAGATGTACTTCGCTGAACTGAACCTTTGAAATATAAATTAAGAGACCACACAAGTAAGGTGAAATTTTCAAAGCTTTTGGAATAATTTGTCTTACAACCCACTGCGCTGATAAAAACCTGAGATAGTGCAGGTTCCAAAATTTTGTGAAAGTCTGTATCTCACAAATGATGAAGCCATGACAGAAGTATTTTAAAATTACAAAAAAAATTGGCAACTGTGCTGCATCTGGAAGATTAAAAAATTTAATTTAACCATTATTATAATCAACAGAAAATTTAAATGTCTGACAAAACAATATGTCAAAAACTTTTTGCAGACTATGAGATTCTACCTAGCGTTAATTAACACTTTTTCTAATGATTTGCTAATGAGCGCAAAAACACAAGTCAGACACAGCCTTATAAATCATTCATTTCATTTAGAATAATTTTAAAGTATTAATTCATAGAAATACATTAACTAGTAACACATAGCATATGTGTGCATTAGTACAATTTATAAAAAGCAAAATCAAATGTCTTCTTAACATTGTGTCAAACACCAAAAGGTATTGTCAATTAATTTTTAAATTTTTTCTAGTGTAAATATTTTCCTTAGAGAAATATATTAATGACATTTATTTAGTAAACATATTTAACATCAATTAGCTAAAATATAAAATATCTCATTTCTTTTTCAAGTATGTTTATTATAGAAAATTAAACAATATTTAAAATAATTAAAAACTTCATATTCCCATTATCTAAAAACTATGTTTATATTATGGTATATTTTTTCCCAGTGTTGTATGTGTGTGTACACATATATATATTTTTCAATATTCTTCAGATCATATTATATTTACCTTGGTATATAGGTATTTTTCTCACACTTGGCATTAACATGGGCCTTCTTCTAGGCTATTACAAATTTTCATGTCATTTTTAATATGGTCATAATAGTTAACTGAATGTATATACACAAATTTACACATTAGATATTTAAAAAATATTTTAAAATCTCTGTTCATAAAATGTACTTTATACTTAGGATAATTTCTTTAGGATAGATTTTGAAAAACAAATACATCATTTTTAAAAAAAAGCATTTTAGCCCTCGCCGGTTTGGCTCAGCGGTTAGAGCATTGGCCTACGGTCCAGAGAAACCCGGGTTCAGTTCCTACTAAGAGCACGTACTTCAGTTGCAGTTTGTTCCCGGCCCTGATCCAACCAGGGCCGTGCGGGAGGCAGCCACTCGATGTGTCCCTTTCATGTTGATGTTTCTCTCTCACTCTCTTCCTCTCCCTCCTTCCCACTCTATTAGAACAAAAAATGGAAAAATGTTCTCTGGTGAGAATAAAAAAATTAATTTTAGCAGATATCAAGAGATGTCATCAGCAAAAATTCTCAGTTTAATATAATTATAATTGTCTCTGAAGTACACCAACACCTTAAAATAGCATGAGAGGGGGGAAATTCTTCAATAATTTTCCTTGAAGAATTTTTTTTTTTTTGGTCTTCCCAAAGTAAACAGCAGTATCAAAGGGACTTTGGCCTTTGCAAATCAGGGATAAATTTATATCAGAAGAAGAAATAGTTGATATAAAAAAAGGGACATATTTATCCTTCTAGTGTCAGTGCTATCTGTCCAGATCTTCTTGTTTAGATTCCCTTTTACTTTCCCTGTATTTGAGGTGAAGTGTCCACACTCAAGGCATTTCCAATTTGGGCAGATGTTTCTTGCTAAGTGAGGTAGGGTTCCAATAGTGGTCTTGTTATTAACCCTTTGAATCAAAGGAACTTAAATTACTGAAAAAAAAATTTTTTTTAAAGGAGAATATTTTGAAACTTTTGATTGTGACAAAATTTTCCAATGATTTACTCTGTAACTCTTTAATACATGAAGGTGAAAGTCTATTAAAAAAAAAAAAAAGGTAATGTGTAGGAACTGCTTTATTACAGGCAGTCTTTAGAGCCCACTTGAGTGGTCATGAATTTAAATTGAGACCAGACCAGGACCTGTCTGTTTTTCTTAAGCTAATATCAATACACAGACACAAGCATAGAGTGGATTGAGATTTCAATTTAAGCAGGACTGGGTTTTGTCAGGTGAGTATGTGGGAGAAAAGAGAATGACTAGAAAGCTGAGAAGAAATGCATGGGGATACTAGAATGACCCATAATGAACTGCAGGAGGGAGGATAAGGAGTAGAGTAGGGTTGGAGGTGTGGTAGAGACCGAAAGAGAGACAACAGTGATCCCAAGGGCATCTACAAATTATTGTAATTTGGATACTGGAGAGAGTTCAAAAGATTAGAAATGAGGTTGAAGGAGTGAGACGATTGAACTGAGAAAATGGAAGGGTATAGTATTCGGTAATGAAATGGCTTAAGGTATGACTACAGGTGTAATTGGCTCATAGAGTGAAAGATAAGATCATGGACAGAGAAGAGGTGTTGGAAATAGAAGGCCAGAGAGAAGGATTATCTGTATGTGCAGTTATTGAAATCAGAATAATTACTACAGGCACAGAATTAGAGGTGCAATGAAAACCACAGTGATCTCACAGTGGTCCTCACACTAGCAATGCCAACATGGTCTGAGGATTGGTTAGAAATGCAAATTCTCAAGTCCCATTAAGATTTATTGAATGGAAATCCCCAGGGGTCATGCTTCATTTGATGGACCATGAAGTTTGAGAACTACCCATGAGGTAGCGCAGATAATAGAAAAGTTAATTGCTTGGAGAAGCAGCAAAGTTTTCAATGAGGTAGTCTTCAAATTACATCTGAAATTATTGCAAGATTAAGTGGAAGGGCCTTAAAATTAAAGAGAGCAGCATTTATAAAGAAAGGCTAGAATCATAAAAATACTATAGATAAGATAAAATGAAATTCTGCAAAAGTGTCAAGTGTTAGCTGTTAACATCACAAAATCATGCCTTGCTAGGAAGGCACCAGTTGTTTAGGAATCCTGAAAAAATTGAACTTTTTTCAATTCATCTGTTGTTTAGTCCATTGTGGTTGGGCTCAGTATCGAGTGAGAGCTTGGAGAGTAAGTGTAGCTGCCCTGGCATATAGTTCGCACAATTTTCCTACATCGCTCTGGAACATAGGAGAAACGGTTCCGTAGAGCCCGTACTTTCCATTAGGCGATTACAGGAGGCCTTGGCCCTTTAAAGACGTCACCCGGCGCCCACCGTGGGTGTTTTCTACGAACCGCTGGCGTCTCCGGGGGCGGGGCTTGCGCAGGGCTGACGTCACCACCCGGCGCCGGGCGCGTTGCTTTGGCGGCGGATTCAAATATTCAGGCCTGGATCTCGGGCTAGAAGGAGCGTCGGAGCGGCGGGTTTGTTCTCGCTGTCCCCGCGGACGTGCGCTTCTGCGCGGTGCTAGGAGGACCTGGAGCCTCGGCGGCCAGTGCCTGCGGGAGAAGATGGCGCTCTCCACCACGGTCTCCCAGAGTCAGCGGGTGAAGCGGAAGGCTCCCCGCGGCTTTCTTAAGCGCGTCCTCAAGCGACAGAAGCCTCACCTTCGTCTGGAGACAAATTGCGACTTACTGGTGAGATTCTCTTCCGTTTGGGGCTTGAAGTGGGGCAGGACCAGGCAGAGGAAATAAACCCAGTCTTTATCTCGCTGCCGCCAGACACGCTAGTTCTTTCAGGCCCATGTTTAAGGCGTTTCCAGCAGTGATTAGGCAGGCTTGCCCCAGATCAATTCGTATTCCTGATGCTTAATTGTACTGGAGCCTACGGAAATGTCGATCTCTGTACCTTTTGTTTTTTACTGGAGGATCTTAGCCACATCAGCTTAAGGAGAAAACTGATAAATTACTGTTCACAGCTTTTAAATGTCGCTGTTCGGGAGCCCGGTATAATACAGAGTTTAGTGTACTTGCTAAGGGAAGAAAGACAGCCTTTTAAAAGTCGATTTTGGAATTCAGGTTGGCTCATTTTTATAAAACATTTGTAAAAGGAATTGCTGGCATGCCTTTTTTACATTATTAACTAAATAGATTGCCTTCTGTTCTCTACTTTTGCTTACTTAATATAAAAGTCCAGTTAAACATTTATTAGTAAGTAGTATGCTCTCAGCTGTGAATTCGTTTTCCTAGACAGACAGAACATCTATTCAGTTTTCAAGACAAACCACTGCAACTTGTTTATCTGACTCATAATACCAGTAGCACGATGCTTACCTACTAAATAACCACAACCAAACCACTGTGTGATATTGCTGTCTTGAAATAAATTCAGAGTTTTTATGTTGAATGCCTGGAACATATATCCCTGTAACAGAATGGACACTGTTTCCCTAGATTTAACCATGGGAGATACCTCCTCTGGTTTGTCACAAGAGCTCTTTGAGTAAAGGAGCATGGGTACCTAATTTTCAGGAGCTCAAGGTAAAGAATTGTGACTAGTAAGGACATATGGTATGGAGAGTGTCTTCAGAATGCGTCATTCCATCAGTTCTTTAAAAAAAATTTTTTTTTCTTTATTAATTTTTAGAGAGACAGAGGAAGGGAGAGGGAGAGAGATAGAAACATTCATGGGAGAGAATATCGATTGGTAGCCTCCTGCGTGCCCCCCACTGGGGATTTGACCCACAACCTGGGGATTTGACCCATAACCTGGGCATGTGCCCCAACCGGGAATCAAACCCGCGACCTCTTTGTACATGGGTCGATGTTCAACCGCTGAGCCGGGCATTACATCTGTTCTTAAGCTACATTCCCCCCCCCCCCCCCCCACCTCTTTTCTCTACCGACTCCGCATCTGTTGCCTACTTGCAGGGTTTCTCTTTTTGCTAGATTACTATAGAATTGTTTTCATGTTTATTTGGTCTCTGAAGCCAAAACAAACTTTTTTTTTGCTTGGAAAAATATTTCCATCTCATGTTTCCTGCCTCCTTTTTTTTGTTACTTTCTTAGACCCCCCCCCCCATAAGAAAACACGATATACATTGTTTACACTGTTTTGCACACCCCACCTCTGTGGTGAAGGTAAAGGTTGCACAAGTGAGTTGAATTAAAATGAAATTGATTTACAGGACATTTTTAGGTAATTTATTCTGGAGTTTTCACTGGTTTGGAGGTCGTAAATGGGGGATGCGGGTGGGGGAAATAAATGTACCTGCTCAAGAATATCTACAAGACTATTATATAGGTTGGCAGAAATTTCTCAGGTAGTCAGATTCTTCCCAAATTCACACCTGTCTGCCCCAAAGTAACTCATAGAGGGGTGGGCTATATTATAGATTGGGATCCAGGTGGTGCAGGAAAGAAGGGGAGGTGAAATTCCAAGCTGTTGCAATAACAGGGGAAAGGAATTTCTTTAGGCCACTATGTGTTCCTCGGTCTTATGCTTTTCTTTGGCTTTCATTTATTCTCATTCACTCTCTGTGTATGCCATGCATTTCTTTGCTTATGGTTTTCTGTTTGCCATTGACACTTCATAATCTTACCCAGCAGATGTCCCACATCATCCATTAACTTTTCTACAATTAAGGCAGTCTGCTTTGACATCTTCTTTTCTGAACTTTGATAGCAGAGAAAGTATACAATATACGGTTTCACTATTGGGAATTTGACATTGTTTACTAAGAATTTCATGTATCAGTGTTATTTCCTACAGTGGTATGCAGCTACTTGAGGGGAAGGAACTTCACATATCTCTTTTTGTTTCCCATTATCTTTAACACAAATCTCCTTTTATGCCGTTTTGTATATGATATTTCTTCTGCCTGAAGATGTCCTCACTCTACTCAGCAAACTCTAGTTCTTTCAAAATCCAGTTCAAATACCACTTCTTCAGCTAAACCTTTCTTAATCTTCTTAGAAAGAATTAATCTTACTGAATCATCTATTGTCACACATGTCTTTAATTTCTTTATCGGTTTGGGTCTGCCATTGGACTGGGAAGTTTGGGACTTTTTGTATTCCTAATGTTTAACATAACAGTTTGAATCATCTGAATGTACAATTAATGTTCGGACTGTATGGAAGAGAGACTTATTTTTGACAGTCTATGCTTTTGGAGACTCTTGCTTTGTATGTTTATTTTGAAATAATTATAGATTCACAAGAAGTGGCAAAATAGTAGAGACTACTGATGTATCATTTACCCAGGTTGCCACAATGCTAACAACTTACATAACTACAGTCCTTTGTGTTTTGAATTTTATACTGTCTGCTTATATTATCTATTTAAAATAATTTCTTAAAAGGTGCCTTAAAGATTAATAGTAGATATGATTATTTTTTATTTTATTTTTGTTACAGATGTTTCTCCTTTCCCCCCCCATTGACACTCTCCTTCCAATCCCACCCTCCCCCAGCATTATTGTCTGTCCTTGTTTACGCATACATGCATAGATATGATTATTTTTATACTGTTAGATGACAAGTAATGACTTTTGTACATATACTTTTCAACTCAGTAAACCTAGAATTTCAATTATTAACATGTTTTTGAATAGATCTTTCAAATACCTGGTTCAAAAAAGTCTTTAGACCTTGGATTGTAGAATGAAAGATGATTAGCCTTAAATATGTTGTTTTGATTTTACATTTTGGGAAACATTTAAATGCATTATAAATTTAAAATTATTTGGAATCAGAAGCAGGAATATTTGTTACTTAATAAAGTTTTACATAAGGTTTGATCTAACGATGCTTTACAATAATGGTATTGTCTGTAGCCTTTGGCTAGCTTTACATAGCCTTGTTTCATGTATTGCAATAACTAAGTCTCTTTTGTATGTAATCTAAGATGGGCCTGTATTAAAGTACATTCTGTTACTTTAAATAAAAATTAATCGATTTAATCACAATACTAAATAGTATAGCAATAAATTTTGGGATCTTTTATTTTTAAAGGTCATTATTTCAAACTGCCAACATTTTGAGTTTAAAATCTTTATGAATTTTTCCTTTTAAAGGTGCACCTGAACTGTTTACTGTTTATTCGTCGATTAGCAGAAGAGGCCAGGACAGATGCTTGTAAGAATAAGTGTGGAATCATTAAAGACCAGCATGTACTGGCTGCAGCAAAGGTAAGGCCTGAATTTCTTATTTTGAGCAAGAATTCAGTTTAAAAATACCACCTCGTACATTACCTCTGCCTGATTTAGATTTCTTTATTCAGCTTTGCTGACTCAGTTGACACTTGGCTTTTAATGTTAATGGATTTAATTACAGAGTTAGATTTTTCTTTTTTATATCCTCATCGGAGGATATTTTTTTATTTATTTTTAGACAGAGTGGGAGGGAGAGATAGAGAGAAACATCGATCTGAGAGGGACACATAGATGGTTGCCTCCTGCATGACCCTGACCAGGGCTGGGACCAAACTACAACCAAGGTACGTGCCATGCCCTTGACCAGAATCAACCTGGTGCTTCTTTGGTCTGCCAGCTGATGCTTTAACCTCTGAGCCAAACTGGCTAGGGCCAAACTTAGATTTTTATTTCTCTATATGTATATTATGGATTCTGATGCAAAGATTCATGGCCACTGCTGTATCACTGTTTAGTGGAAAATAAATATTTGACTATAATCTGTAGGATTTGTAGTAAGCTATATAGAGTTGAGAAGGTTATCACCTTGAAATTTATCAAAACTTCTTGATCATTTTGCTTTCCTCATTGCCCAATTATTTGTTTTTCTAACTGTGTTTTGAGATTTGCATGATTTATGAATTAAATTACTTATAAAAACAGAAGATTGCTTCTTACTGGTATTTCTATATAATGTAAGAGTATGATGCCTAGGGCAGAGTTTTTTCCAAATCTGTTCTTGAGATCATTACCATTTGATGTTAATGAATGTTCCACCATGTACAGCTTCTAGGGTCAAGATACATTTAGATAACCTAACATACTATTCCTTCCTGAATAGTCACAATGTTATTATGTATATAGAGCTTGTTTCTATAAGAAATTGACAGCCATGTTTGACTGGGGGATGATGTGGGGAGAGATTTAGTTTTGATACTCTAGGTCTTTGTATACTTATTTTAAAATAATTATAGACTCACAGAAGGTGCATAGTAGAGAGTTCCATGTACCTTTTATCCAGCTTTGCACAATGCTAACATTTTTATATACCTATAGTTATGTAAAGTTATAAAAGGTTATGAGAAATATAGCAGTAAAGAAACTTGTTGGACTTTAAGTTAGCATTTTGTAAATTTGAATACATGATATACATAGCATTTTGTAAATTCACTTTAGTACATAGAACTTCCTTTTGTAGTACTCATACTAACAGAACAGAGAAGTACTAACCTAAGGTCTAGACCTATTTGGTGGCCTTTGGAAGCCTAGAAATGTGCATGTCCTGGCATTTTTTTGGGGAGGGGTTTTCAAATTTTCTTACAGTTACAAGTATCCCAACAAGATTCTAGACAGAGTTAGTTTTTCTTTAGGTAAAACAAGGTTTAAGAGCTTGAAGAGTATATGTGTATATCTTAAATTTGGGGTTTGTTTGTTTTTATTAACACATACTAGGTATGTTTAACCTAAAAGATAAATTCTTTAAAAATATTTTGGATATATTCTGATCTAATGTTCCCTGTCTTTTACGACTAAGGATCTGTTGTTTTATTTCTCTCTTGGGCTACATGTTTTGAAAATTGTCTACTTGACAAGCTTTTGAATGACTAGTCTTGCTTGATTTCTAAATTGATATAATTCCAGACCAAATATAAGAAATTTGTGTTGCAATGGATTTGTATTGCTTTAGAGTTGTTAAATGCCTGATTTATAATAGGCTTTTAGAGTTTTGGAACATGCTGTAACTCCCAGGATTACTAAATTGTCTACAAACCTCATGTTAGGAACCATTAATTCGGACACTTTTGGCTTACACTAGAAGAAATTAACATCTAGAAGTTACTATAAAACCAGATTTTGAGAATCTAGGCAGGTTTTATGTTCTTTGTGAGAAGTAGAAGTCTCAGACCATTTATAAGGCCAAGAGGATTCTCTAATCACCTTCCATATTGGGTTTTATAAATTCAGTCTTATATATTATACACATAAGAACAGTTAACTTTTTGTTGAGGAACTTTGTGTTATTTGCTATGGGTATAATAGAATTTTCATTTTTTTTTCTCCCTCACAGGTAATGCTAAAGAAGAGCAGAGGTTAGAAGTCAAAGAACACATTTTTGAAAATTATATGATCAATTTTTTTATTTAGGTGGTAACAGATTGTGAAAGCACTTTTTGCATATGTTAATATTGTGTATTATTAAAGTATTGGCTGCTTGAGGGATGTGTGCATTTGTATATTTTTTTACTGGTATTGAAATATCTCAAGTACACTTAGAACTATATAACTTTATTTTTGAGGAATTATGTTTCATTCATTTTAAACGAACTTGCATTCATTTTACTTTTGTTTCGTTGGTATTGCAAATGTTTTGCATATCAAAACTGAAATCTTACTATATGAAGTAGCCTGAAGAGGTGTGTTTCTTGAACTTAAGCTTATAAGTATTTAACTTTAGACATAATGACCTATGGAATCAATTTAAATCAATGAAAAAAGACAATGTACAGTTAAATCTAGGTGCATTTTAAATAATTTTAACTCTTTAATGCCTTTGTGTAAGTAATGCAGTCTACTTTTTATTACTGAATCATATTCTGTGGTATTAATATACCACAGTTTATACAACTTTCACCCATTGAGGGCCATTTTGATTATTAGTAGAAGGATTCCTCTCACTTGATTCTTTTTCAGAATTGTTTTGACTTTTCCAGTTTATTTGCTTTTACGTAGAAATTTTAGAATAACCTTTTTGTATCTATAAAAGAATCTTCCTGGAATTTTGATTGGAATTGCATTAAATGTGTATATCAACTTCGGGAGAATTGGCATGTTTACTGTGTTGAATCTTCCAGTCCATGCATATGGAATATCTCTATTTATATCTTTGAGTTGTAGTTTTTACTCTTCATTTCTTTTCTGTTGAGAGAACTTCCTTTTGTCATTCTTTTAGTAGGTCTGCTGGTGACAGATATTCTTAGTTGTCTTCATTTGAGAATGTCTTGATTTCCTCTTCATTCTTTTTTTTTAATTCTTTTCTGAGGACATTTTTGCATTTTTCTTCAGATAGAACGGGAGGGAGAGAGGGAGGAAGAGAGAGAGAAATATCAACATGAGAGAGACACATCAAGTGGTTGCCACCCACACGACACCAACCAGGACAGGGGACAAATTGCAACCAAGGAATGTGCCCTTAGTGAGAACCGAACCCTGGACTTTCTGGTCCGTTGGCGGATGCTCTAACCGCTGATGCTCCAGACCAGCTAGGGAGCCCCTTAATTCTTGAAGCATATTTTTGCTGGATATAAAATGTTGGGTTGACAGTTTTTTTTTTTTTTTTTTTATCCTCACCCGAGGACATTTTTCCATTTTTTTTGCTCAGGTAGAGTGGGAGGGAGAGAGAGGAACAGAGAGAGAGAGAGAAACATCGATGTGAAAGGGACACATCGAGTGGCTGCCACCCGCACAACCGACCAGGGCCGGGGACAAACTGCAACCGAGGTACGCGCCCCTAGCGGGAACCGAACCCGGGTCTCTCAGGACCGCAGGCTGAGCCAAACTGGCCAGGGCGGGTTGACGGTTTTTTTTAGCACCTGAAAAGTTTTTAACCCTATCTTCTTTTTCCTTTCCATCTGGGTCTCTGATGACACAGATTAAGGTCTTATTTTATAATTCCACAATTTTTTTTTTTTTATTTGTAGTTCTCTGTTGTTTAAACGGGTAATTTCTGTGTTCTAGCTTAAGTTCACTGATTATTTCCTGTCTTGCCCATTCTGCTGTTGACCCATTGAGTAGTTTTACTTGATTTTCATTACTATATTTTTTAGTTTTCAGTTCTTTTAGTTCTTTTGGTTTCTTTACATCTGTCTTTGCTGAGACTTTCGATTTTTTTTTTTTCATTTATTACTCTAGCATTTTTATGATGGCTGTTTTGAAATCCTTTTCTGATAATTCTAACATTGTACCATCTTGTCATTGGCATTTTTTTAATCATTCAGTTTGAGATTCTATTGAATCTTCATTGTGAATGATTTTTTTTATTGAAACCTGGATATTTTGGGTATTATGTTACAAGACTGGATCTTATTTAAATCTTGTGTGGTTATAGGCCTTCTCTGACATCATTCTGATGGATGAAACATGGCACTGCCTTGTTACTGTTAGTGGGAGTAGAAATCCAAGTCCAGGTTCTCCACTTAGCCTCTTTTGACAACCAGTGATGGGAAAGGAGGGAGCTCTCTCCTTGTTATTGCTGGGCAGAGATGGGAGTTCAGCTTCCCACTAGGCCTTGCTGATACTATTTTGATTGGGAGAAGGATGGTGGGTACCTTGGTACTGCTACCCATCTTTATGCTACTGATGTGGGAAGGTGGTTATGTTACCTCTGATCAGTGGTGAAAATCCCGACTCCACAAGTCTCAGATACCATCCAGTGGAGAAGGGAAGGAATTCCTTGTTACCAAAGCGTGAGAGTGGAATACCACTCAACTTCTGTGGTCTTCACTGACACTATGAGAACGTATTCTCATGACTGACTGCTGAAAGTTTGAGCCTGATAAATAACACTATTATTTATCAGGTACACACTTAAATGTGTAAGGACAGGGCTTATTTCCTTGTAGGTGAGTGGGTTAATGATCAGAGAAATAGGTATTATGCCAGGGAACTCCCAAAATCAGAATATGGAGGACATTTTCATGAGCTATCCATACCCATCCTAGTGCCTAATTCTCTCTGGGTAATTTATCTTATTTATTTAGAGAAGAATCTTCAATCCCCATTTTTCTTTTCTTCTGGGATAAATTGTTTTTAAAGAATACCCGGGCCTGACCAGTTTTGTCTGAGTGGTTAGATTGTCGACCTGTGGACCAATGAGTCGCACCTTCAATTCTGATCAAGTACCTCTGTTGCGGTTCATCCCTGGCCCTCGGGGTTGTGTAGGAGGCAATCAGTCAATGTGTGTCTCGTGTGTGTGGATGTTTCTCCCTCCCTCCCTCCTACTCTATTTGAAGATAAATAGCACAATATCCTCAGGTAAGGATTAAAAAAAAAACAATAGAATGCCCCATATTGAGAACTTCAGTTAATCATTTTGCTTTACTCCCATCTCTCCTCCATTGTACATGGCTGTCTGGACTCAGGAAAGGCCTCGCGGTTTTGCATGGGCAGGTCAGCTGCCTCAGCTGTGGCATTTCAACCATCGTTACCTGCAGCTTCTTTGGCTCTGCCTCAGCACTCTTTACATCCTCTGCATCCAGAAGTTCCTTGAACTGTCTTGAATGTCCACATCTTACCTTTTCAAACTCGGATAACACCTTTTTATACTTGATTATTTTAATGGAACTTGAGAGGGAAAGAATGTATGTGGTTGATCTTGAACAGACAGCTTCATGGATTCTTAGTTGAAAATAAATGCAAGTTAATAAATTACTACTTTTTTGAAAGTATTAATGTGCTAAGCTTTTAACAAGTCTTGCTATACAGATACACATTTTAATGTAGAATTATGTTTCATATAAAAATAAATTATAGATACATATTAGGATTTCTCATGAGAATGTAAATTTGAAAAATAACTACAATATATAATTAATGCTGAAGAGTTCTATAAATGTATGTAATAATATATATTATTTTCATTTGAATTTATTTTGAAATAAGAGCTGGACTAGGGAATTCTGGTTTTAGGACAACTAGAACTAATATATTCAGAATTAATAGCTTTCTATTTTAAAAGTGAGGTTTTCCGCATCTTCTCTACCTCCTGTATAGTGACAGATGATCATCATCATGCAGTCTGGCTCACTGCCCTTCTCCAGAAGGCTATCAATAATCTGATCACATTCCTACGTCTTCTGTATTGGGCTTTTCTGTGTAGTTTTTCTATCTCATCCCAACCTTGTAATTGTGAAAACTTTTATACAGTGTGCTAAGATTAAGCTTCTACAATTGAAGGACAAAATAGGATTCTAATTGGGTGTTTGGAGGGGTTTGTGGTTTTTTTTGTTTTTGTTTTTGTTTTTTTCTTTTCTTCATCTTTGGAGACCATAGTATTGCTATGCTGAAGGAAAATATAAGACCAAAAGGTGTGTGGGTGTGTGTGTGTATTGGGGGAGGGTAGTGGGATGGGATGAAGATAAGGGGAATGGGTAGAGAGAAGTGATTGTGTCTATAGGTTTAGCATCATCTCTTCTGGGAGGTTTTCTTTTATAGATAGAAAGTTTACTGTCTTGATCAAAATGAAAACGCCAGCATTTTTATGTGGAGAGTGGAAGATTGAAGTAAAACAGAAAGAAGCAAGACACAATGAAGATGGAAGAATAGTAGCTGAAATGCATTAGCTTGTCTTGCACATCTTTTGGGGGGTTTATGTGCCACCGATCCCACTACTGAATTAGAAATGATGAAGAGAATCTAGAATATGAGGTTCAGTAGAGAAGGGGGGAAAGATGATTTCAGATTGTGTGAATTGTGTTCTGTATGTTGAGGAGGGTCTGTTAGACCTTGAACAACTAATTGAACTAGAGTCTCCATTTCTGACTGTATAGAGTGAGGAGTAGTTTTAAGATACTCCTATTATCACATGTAAAACTTAACTATTTGCCTTGTTTTCCTGAGATATTGTCATCTCTGATTAATCTATGTGCAGTTTCCTTTTTTGAATCTTACTGTTCCCTGTGCCTGATACGTTATTATTTGACATGTATGTTTTTCCATCATGATACTTTCAAACATTCTGTGCTCTTTAAAGTGTATCTCTTGTAATTAGCATATACTTGTTTTTTATCCAATATTATTAGTAATTTGTATAGTTCATTTATAATTAATGTGAAAGAACTGCAACATTTGGTTTTATATTTACCATTTTACTATTTTCAATGTGACCCAGCTGCTTTAGGTGCCTTTTTTTTTAAATTCACTTTTATGATTCACTTTACTTTCTATTATTCTAGCTAGATATTGATTTGCTAGGGATTATGATATGCATCATTGATTTATTATACCTTCTATAATCTATCTATGCTATCTTTTATTAGGGATTATAACATGTACCTTTGGCTATTTCTAGAATATTAGAACACTTTAACTCTGTTTACCTGCCTTTTAAATAAGTTTGCATATGTTAAACCACATAAAACATACTAGAATTATTAGGATTACTCAGTACTGTCAGTACTCAGTATTCCTATCTATGTTCATATTATCCTTTTCTTTGCCAATCATTTCTATAATACTTTGGGATTTTTAAAAAATGATCTGAAGAACTTCCATTAATATTTCCCGTATTATCTGTTTCTTGGTAATTAATTCTCTCAGTTTTTGTTTG